TAAGGGGGGCACAGCCGAGTCCCTGGAGGGGGGTTACAGGGTAGGGAGCTGGAGCCAAGCCCCTCGGGGGGGTTGCAGGTAAGGGGTCAGGGCTGAGCCCCAGGGATGGTTATGGGTAAGGGAGTTGGGGCCAAGCCCTTGGGGGGGGTTACGGGTAAGGGGGTCGGGGCTGAGCCCTTAGCGGGGTTACAGGGTAGAGGGCTGGGCCTGAGCCCCTGGGGGTGTTACGGGGTAGAGGGCCAGGGCCAAGCCCAGCTGCTGCACTGGGGTAGGTAAGGCAGGGAACAGACAGAGTTACCCCAGGAGCATTTTGCTGCTGGGCCCCATCTGCTGCCCAGCACCCTGTGCTCCCTCAGGGAGCAGTGTGCCACATGCCCTCGCTCCTTGGCGTGCCTGTGCCTCTGTATGACTCGGGAGACATCCCGCACTTGAGCCTTCAACCTGGCCAGGCATCACTTCTACCGGCACCCCATTCCGCATGCCTGCCGTGCGGTGGTACCGCTGCCGAGCCCCCCCGTTACGGGGCTCCCAGCCCCTCCGTGCCCGTGTCAGCGCTCCGCTATCCCAGAAGCAAACTCCAGGAGAAGCCCCCAAAGCTTCTTCCAGGAAAAGAAGTGGCCTTTCTTCAGCTGCAGAAACACCACTGCATAATGCGTACCGCAGCTTTCCAGGATACATGTGATGATGAATAAGCATGAAATGACGGTTGTCTGCTTTCAGGCCCCTTTTTGCTGCTCTGGATGAGTGTGCACGAAGCACAGGGAAGTATCAAGATGACAGGACGGGTGGGAAAGGCAGTCTGAGGGGCCAGACATCAGCCCTGGCATGTTTTAGTGGTGGGCTGTATTTCTCATGCTGCATGAAGGGAGCCGGTGAGTTCAAGCCTTCTCTGACAGAGAGGACAGGGACGGTTTGCGGCTGGTGCTCTGTGCCGGTGAGAGCCCCAGTTCTGGAAGAAATCGAGATAAAACTCGTTGCAGCTCGGCGCTGGCACACATGCGGTGTTGAGGTGCTGCCCTCGCTAGGGCTGAACGCGAACTCGGCGGCTGCTTCCTGCCTGGGCCCCGGGGGAGAAGAAATTCAGCCTGCTTGGGGAAGCAATCTGAGCAATATCCTCCCAGCCAGCGCCTCGAAAACACACCCGCTGCCTTCTTTAGCAGACCCAGCACCCTGGCCTGGCCGACTGTTGTCAGCTCCCTTCGGATGACGAGCTGGGGAGGCTGCCGTGGAGGGCAAGCAGGTGGCTGGCCAGTGCCCCGGTGAGTATACTCCTTTGCAGAGCACGCAGCACCTCTTTCCAGGCCTGGGATCCTCCTTTTGGGGTGATCCCGGCAACGTGGAGCAGGGAGAAGATGGGATCCCTCAGGCTTTCCCCAGGATGAAGATTGGGAAGGAGAGCCCAGCAGCTCCAGAGAGCTGATTTACTGACTCCCAAGGGCTGGGAGGACAGCATCTGTCCCGGGCCCTGGAGCAATTGGTGCCAGCCCTGCTGCAATGCTGCAAATGCCAGGGAGGATGGTCCTCGCCCCAGGCTGGGGCTTGTTCATGGGTGGAGCATCTCCGATCCTTCTTCTTCTTTCTCAGAGCAGAAACCTGCCATCTTGAACCAAAAACCCACCCCAGGCAAGCTGCCTCCCTCCGCAGGAGCCGCCTCTCCAAGTGAAACGCCTGGGCTTTGCTTTCCTTCCTGCAGTGAGGGCATTAGGGGATGCTGTTCCCCATCACCCGGGCATGGCGGGTCCCAGGGCCGTGGTGCCGGCTGAGCGATGACACCGCACCCTCCTGCAAAGGGCACGCCGCTGCCAGTCTCCTCTGATGGAGAAGAGACCAAAGCGCTGGGCTTCCCCACCGCCGCTGGGATGTCCCTCGACAGACACCAGCCCGCCAGGCAAAGCCAGAAGGCCAAATTCAGCAGAAATGGGTTGCCTGGGGAGAGGAAGAGGAGGAACCGTGACAAAATCCAGCCTTTATTGGGGACGGGTGCTGCCCCTGGATGCACCGGCCAGCTGGAAACCCCAAAGGACCAGGGGACGCTGCTGTTCCTGTCCTCACGCTGCTCAGTGCCGGAGTGATGGGGAAAGCCTGGGATGGAGGTGGCTTTTTGGGACTATCTCCTGCTCCCGCCATGCCTCCGAGGCGCTGGGTGCAGGCGCGGGAGG